AGAATTTTGGAATACTAAATGCTACACTAAAATTAGTGACAGAGGTATTTCAATATTTTATAGAAAAGTCAAAGAAACTTTCTCTTTATGTACAATGATAGTAAAAATAGAACTTTATATTTTCTGCAGTATTTCATTGTTCTTCAATAAACATTTCGATAATAGTTGGTTGTCATGATATTTGATTATAACGCTTAGATTAAATTTTGTTTTCACTGTCTATCACTTTCATGACTTACTCTTTGCTCTTCTGAGACTCTATGCTTATAGCCAGAATAGTTTGTTACGAAAGTTTTAAAATCAGAACATTAAATTTGCGGATTTATATGAACGGTGTGAAAGACAAGTTATTACTACATTTGTATCTCAGGAAAAGAAACAGCGACGAGCACTGAAACTTTTACAAGAAACTATTCTTGCTAATGTCTATCTCTATGCAAAGTTTCAAATCGAAAGTCTAAAATCAGTTTTTTTTTTTATGTTTGGATTCAATGAATGGCATGATGTATGAATAATTAGATCAATCATTTCGAACATTTGGTAGAATAAAAATTTTATAAACTTGTTTCTGTATTTTCTTCGTTTTTTATTTGATTGTCATTATTTGTTTTTTTAGAGAAGATTAAAAAATCAAAGCCTATACAGAAAAAATTTTTTCAAACTTTTTTTAGGATATTAAAAAGTATCAAAAATAATTTTTTTCGATATTTAATCTAATTGTTAAAGAATTGTAAGAAAAGAAAACCTACTAAGAAATTAATATTAACAAAAAAAAAACAAAAACAAACACTTACATTATTTTTTATTGAACTAGGACTAACCATTATTTTACTATTACTAATTAAATCATTACTTATACTTGTTCTAAGTCTATATTCAAGTTTAATAGCATTTGATGTTAATGATACACGTGGTGGAAAATAATCTTGTAGAATTTCTCTTTGTTGAAATCCCATCATTTTATAAAAATTAATTCCATCAATATTTGTTGATTCAACATATGCATAAATTTGTATAATATTTTCTAATTGTTTACATGTTTCAATCATTTGTAATAAAAGATGTTTACCAATATTAATTGCATGTATACTATGATTATCTTCAACAAGCATTAAAATTTTTAATTTACGTTTTTGATTTGAATCAAATATAGATGTTGCTAAAATAGCACCATAAATTTTTAATTTACAACAATATTTTGTACGATATACAGTTTTTGATATATCAGATGCATCATATGCACGTTGAAATGTTTCACGATTAAATGCTAATGGAAATGCTTGATGAAAAAAATGAAATAAACGTTTAAAACCAACATCTTCTTTTGTACCATAATGAAAATGAATTAGTGATGATGATTTAAAAGTTTTAGTAGATAAACGACGTGTATTTAGACGAATAGACATCGTCAATAATGAACCAAATCTGCATGTTTATTATAATGAATAGATTTTATTTATGCGCCAAAATGTTTATATATAAATATCGTATACAATTTTCATCAATCATTATGAAAAGAATACTCAAATAAGTATATGATTAATATTACTTGTATCGAATTTTACAATGGAAAAAATTCTTTAATAATTAGACGATGATTGATGTATTAATGTTACTAGTTTCTCTCAGTATAAAGCAATCTGGACAATCGAAAAAAAACAGATGTTATCCCGATGAAGCTTAAAAATGCAATACGTAGATAATTATAAAACAAAACTTTATTTTCATATTGTAAATAGATCAATCTGTCAATCATAGTAATCTCGATATATTTCATTTATTGATAAACGCCCAATATTTTCTTCCATAATATTATTTTTACTGACGCAATTTTTGTTTTCGTCACACTAATCAAAGTCTATCAAATAAACATTAAAAAAATAATGAATAATTATATATCTATTAAAGCAACTTTGACATTTCTACCTGACATGGCCGTGAAAAGCGAAAGAAAAAACATAAACATATTTTATAATTACATGTTTTTCATTCTGTTTTTTTTTTTATTTTTGATGAAATCGATAGTAATATTGCTGTCAAGTACCTTTGAAAATGATGAAAAGAATGTATCATACGACATAAAAACAGTGATGTTTTTTTCTATCTTTTTCCTTCTAGTTCTGAAGTATAACGATTTATTTTTGTCAGGAATGAATCACCAAAATAGCGTGACAAGAAAGAAAAGTCTTGTTTAAAATGAATTTGAAATTCTTATATTGTCCCATTTCAGTCAATTTTATACAGCAGTAGTTGATTAAATTTTCATCAAGAATGATATTTCAAGATTAATGATCTATTATTTAACTTCGATTATTCATTTTCAAAGTTTCATCGATAGTTTTCTATGTCAGAGAGATAGCTGTTGAAATTAGATTTCTTCTATGCCAAGCTAACTTATAAAGTATTGGAAAGGGAATCTTGCTAGAATTAACCAAGATTTTGAGCCTTCTTTTCTGATGACTTAGGTATATTTTAAAAATTTTCGTAATCTGTTTATTTTTTCGTCGAAAAATTCATTTTTGGTTTCTATCAGAATTGGATCAGAAAATAAATCTCATCGAAAAGTTATTTTGAGAGTGAGAATCAAATTCTAAACTTATAAAACTATACTAGAACTCTAGTGAGCAAATGAATTAAAAAGAAAAACAGAATTTCGACGAAAATAAAACTTATAGATAAGTCCACTCAGTTTGATATACTGATTCAGAATATCATATTAGTTTTCATACAAGTCATAATTTTCTCATCGAAACCTATTGAACATCAATAAAAAAAGGCTCAAAATCTTGTCTTGAGAATAATGTCTTTAAGATTTCTTTGTGTGATTAGTGTTTTTTATCTCGATGTTTTTGTATCATCTTCTAGCACTTCAAAACTATTATCAAATCATATTAAAATTAGCTTGGTTACTAATGGATAGATGAATAAAACATGTTGATTATTATCAACAGTCGATTTTAATGTAAACACGACAGCGATCGACTATTTTGATCGATCGATACATAGCACACGAATAATTAATATATGACTAATTCTACCAGGGTTCCCTTTCGGACACCTTGTGTGATAATTTGACATAGAAGAAATCGAATTTCTCCAGGGGGGCGGAGCAATTTCGACAGTGATCGACCTCCGTTCTCTTTAAAAAAAATGGATTCTATCAATCGATAGATGATAGAATTAGTAGACTATTTTATTTAATACTTGTTTTTTTTTATGCATGCAACCAATTTTACTTACTGTTTATTTACTAAGTCAAAATTAGTATGCGACTGTTTCTCAGATGTCATATATTTCTTATTTGGTAATTTATATTATTCGTTGTTCGACTACTTATGAATTGGTTTTTCATTTTATAAAAATCTACCCTATAATCATAATGTAGAAATATTCAATATTAACATAGAAATGAAGCAAAAGTCAAAACATATCTATTTATACACGACTAACAGTTAATGTTTGTTTCCCTCGAAGACGTTCGTAGAAAAAAAAAACATTTCAAACAAGTAGTGATTGCAATAATATTTGTTTTTTGTATCACTCACTATCATCTTATTTTTTTAAAAATTACTATAAAGTAAATATCAACCAATATTATGTCGTCACCTGTAGACCGTTCTGTTACGATATTTCTGAAATATAAAAAATAATGTTGTTCAAGCTTCAAATATTATTATGCATTTCTCTTTTCTATTACGTATTAAAACTGACGTGTACAGGTGAATTACTATTTGATATCATTTTGAATAATTTGTTTCAACCAGTTATTATTAATGAAAGCTCGCGACGTGTGTATAATATATTTACTATTTATATCTGTTTCTGGTACTCAATGGAATTATGGTGATCTTGGACCAGATATTTGGAGTGAACATTATCCATTATGTGATGGTCAATCCCAATCACCAATCAATATTTTAACAGCATGTACAGTCTATAAAGATTTTAAACCATTCACATTTATTTCAACACATGATGGAAAACATTATTTTACATTGAAAAATAATGGACATACAATTATTGGTACCATAAATAATGAATATAAACAATCACCTATTCAATTAACTGGTGGTGGTCTTAATGGAACATTTGAATTTGTAAATTTTCATTTACATTGGGGAGAAAACTATAAATCAGGCAGTGAACATCAAATGTAAACCTACAAAAAAGACTCATAAACTCTTAAAGATGTGTTTCATTTTTTTTCTCTTAGAAATGGTGTTAAATATGCTGGTGAAATACATTTTGTTTATCAAAATCCTCTTACATCTCAAATGGCTGTACTTGGTATATTTATGCAAAGTTATTTACATAAGAAGAGATTTGTTTTCGATAAAAATGATCTTACACGTGATGAATGGCATAGATATTTTGATACAGCAAAAACTTTAACATCTGAAAATGATTCAATTCTATTTGATTCTAATGTCACATTACTTATGGGTGAAAATCTACAAGATTTTTGGAGATATGAAGGTTCATTGACTACACCACCATGTACAGAAGGTATCATTTGGACTGTTTTTAAACGACCTATTATTTTTATGGAAGAAGAATTCAAACATTTGAGAGATAATGTTTATTTTGAAGATTATCGTGGTCCTCAACCATTATTTAATCGAACAGTTTATCGAAATTTTTATAGTGAAAAGTTATCATCAATACCAGACTATAATCGATGTTTATTAGATTTTCAATATGAAAAAGCTATGAACATAATTTCATTATTTGGTGTAATAAATTGTACAGCACGTTCGTTTTTCGTTTTTCTATTAGTTATTTATTTTATTTTATTATTTATTTTATTTGTTGTTTTTCGTAAAATGCGTT